TACTCAGACAAATCGTACACTCAGTAAATTTACCACGTGATCGTAAAAAGTAACGATAACCGTGTCCATCGGGATATACCTTTAGCTCACGTCAACATTATCAGCTACCGGGAAGGAGGCTGCGGGTTTCGTGTTTACCTTTTATAAATTGACCGATGACCCGTGCAGTTTCCTCCCACGTCTCGGGTTGACTTGACCCGGTCTCTTCCTCTCTATATAATTCTCTTCATTTACACTCAGGCTCTTCACTTCCACATCACACAATTCCTCCTGGAACCACTTCTACCAGCTTACTCTTTCCCGGGGAATTGAAGTTGAAATTTCCTCTTCTTCTTCTTCTTCTTCTACGAGATTCTACTGCATTTCTTCGAATCAAGACTTCCAAAAATGAAGGTAAGTATCAAGATCGTTGCATTCCTCTCTGTTTTTCTTTCTTTCAAATCCCTGACACAGAAGCATGAAACAGAGTAGTAGTTAAAAGTAATTTGATCTTGTTGTTGCAGAAAGTAGTGTTGCAGTTGGATGTTTGCAACGACAAGTGCAAGGCAAAAGCCATGAAAACAGTCTCGGGTTTTGATGGTATTGTTGAATTTCATTTGCGCATTCATTCAATTCTCGTTTTGATCGTCGAAAACTTGAGATCTCTAAGCTGACGATCGAACTCGATTCGGGTTCTTCAATTAAATCTGTAGGTGTTGAGTCGATTTCGATGGACATGAAGAACAGAAAGTTGACGCTGACTGGAAGTGTGGATCCGGTGTTGGTGGTCAAAAAACTGAGGAAGACATATTCAACGGATATAGTGTCGGTCGGACCGGCGAAGTAGCCGGAGAAGAAATAGGAATAGCTGAAGAGAGAGGGGAATAAGAGGAACCAAAGAAAGATCAAAGTTGTTTACACTTTGTTGAACTGATTCAGTATTAGTACTATTAGTTTTTCCTTTTTCTAAACAAGTACTCAAGGTCGGGTTCGAAACTCGTTCATATAATAGGAGAAAAATGCACATCAAGTTGACAAACCGTCAATCGACGCAAAGAGAGGTGAGGTGCAGTGTTACTACTATTAGTTGTCGGAATGATTTGGAAAAAATAAAATAAAACTTTCTCGAAGTTCTTTCCTAAATTGGACATTTTTTGTTCATATTCCATAGTAGTTTTATTTTTGGCCAACTTCCTTCGGTTAGTTTCTAAAATTCTTCTTCTATATTTTTTTTTGTATAGAAAGCATATACGTATATAAGAAAAAGGAAAAATTAAGACAATAACTTCATGCATCAATAACAAAAAAAAAATAAATAAATAAAAGTAATTTATTGATATTTTTTTGATAAAAATAAAGTATTTTAAATTATAATAATTGGATATGCAAATAAAATAAATTAATAATTACGTCCTAACGTACACGCATACCACAACTCAAGAATGGTACTTTTTGTAATATGATCGAACCCAACTCTAAATATGACTTGCGCACAAATAATTCCTTACGTGAGTGCCGATTATAAAGGAAAAACAGTTGATTGTTAATATTTGATAATTAATAATTATTAATATTTATAATTTAAAATATATAATTTATTTAATTAAAACTAACAACTAGTAATTATTTACAATAAATTAAAACAAACACCATCATAGATACAATAATAAAAGTGGAAACACTTTAAGTACTTTCACAAACTCACTTTTAATGAAGTAATTTAATAATTAAGAATTTAAAATTTGAAATTAAAAATTTTAAATTTTAATTTTAAATTGAGTGAAGAAAAATTTTTTTAAAAAATAAAATAAAATTTTTATATATTTTATCATTATCATATATATATTTTAAATAAATTTATAAAAAATCGAATTCGAATCGTTACCTTATGAGTAAAAAAATATACTTATATGTAAGTTAACACCATTGAAGTCAAAAGCTCAAGTGCTATCATCATCATATATATATATATATATATATATATAAAAGGAAAACATTTTCATTTGGTCAAAAGATGGGAGGGAAATTATTAAGATAGTACACAC